TATAGTGGCCAATCAAATTACGCTGTGTGATCCGAACCATTCCGAACGCTTTAGCTCGCATTTTCCACTGCAGTATTTCTCCGCCATTTTGACTAYTGWTGACTTTTCMGGCGAATATTCCAGAGAACATGAAAGTTTATCACCAAACTCTTGCACTCATTACTCGTCGGGGTGTTAGGATCAAGTGTATGTTGAATTATGATGACGAGGAGATCTCAAATACAGAGATCGACACGCCTACTACTCGTGAGGCAACGACAACGGCCGTGAAAACGAGCAGACCRGCCAGTTAAATATGGTCAACACGCCTACTACTCGTGAGGCAACGGCAACGCATCGACTGGATTAAGAGTATGGCACTGAAATCAAACAAGATTTAAGGTCATATGCAAAAAATGTCAATAGTTGAGTTGTTTCCGTAGATAAAATATCAGTGTCGAAGCAAGTAGGGAACTGACAACAAGTCATTGTTGATCCTGTGAGCCTTGTTTACTATGGCAGAAGTACATACAGTTGAGTTTTACAGTGGTATATTATTATCGATAGACAAGCACTTTATGTGATAGCCAATGTTACATGCTAAATAAATGGCTCTGAGTGCAGTTGTACATCAGTTTTTGTGCCGGCTTTGAATAATATCTCTTGAAAAATAAACTTGGTTTCTTGAATATTTCATCTCAGTTACAATGATTTGGTGAAGTTTCATGTAAATTTAGTCCTTGAATCAGTCTTGGTTGTGAAGTAATGTTTTAGAAATAGAGATCAATTTTGCCAAGCTTTGAAGCAAATTGATAATATTTCAATCCTTTTGGCAATGTCTGTTGTACTATTGTGCAATACGGCGGAAAAGAAATTAATAGAGATTGAGAAAAATATGTTCCAAGAGATTTAAAAGTTCTTAAACTACAATGTTTTTATTGTTCTGTTTGGTAAGACACAGGACTAGTAAGTTTATTAACTGTATCTTTCTCTTTGTAATTGGTGTCCTTGAAAACTATAGCCCACCAAAATGTCCAAAAATGACCGATTTTTCATCAAAAAGCATAGGCTATATCCCACGAAAATGGCCAAAAATGACCGATTTTTCATCAAAAAGCATGTGCTATAGCCCGCCAAAATGGACAAGTGCTTTAAAAAGCACTAATCCTTAAAAAGTCCTTGAAAAGTCCTTGAATTTTACAACTCATAAAATTACATGAATGAATCATGATGAATTGGCCTCAATACTATTGAATATTACAATATCACGTACAAAAAAAAGGGCACGTGTAAACCCTGCCTACAGGGTCTAGTTACTGAAACTGAAACTGTTTTATTGCTCATAATTGCTATTTAGTTGACAAGATAAAGTGCTTGTAATAAAAAAAGGATAAATAAGTATAAAAATAGGTAAATTTGTTGTAAAAACTAGAGTCAGACGGCTAAATTACATTATTAGTACGATAAAGATAAGATTTATAATATTGTTGATAAAAAATGTTAAAATTATTTATTAATTATATTATTTGTAGATACTACAATACCCTAGTTTTTTTGTCTCACTTGCGGTAATTTTTTTTGTTTGTTTTTTTTTTTATACTGATTACCGGGTCATTCGATACTGATATAAAACCAAAACCCCATCGATGCTGATACTTTTTCATACTCGTCGCAGAATGAGATATAACTACTTAGTAATCATATCATTCTTCTCACTTTTATAGAACTACACCAAAGACGTACCCCGCTAAATCCGCTAAGTAAGTTGCTGCAAAGAACGTCTACTCAAAAAGCATACATGTACATCTGAATTCTATAATTATATTCTGAAATATAGATTTAATTTTTTTAACTCTGTTGCTAGTCAGCAAGACAGTATTCCTTATACTTATTCAAAACACAAGCACACATGTTAGAAAATGACAAATTCTTTGTCAATAGACCTCTGAACCTTTTACGTCACTACTTGATTTTCAATGCATTGTGGGATCAATTCAAGAGAAAACAAAAGAAATCCGCCATGTCCTACAATGCATTGCGTATACGGTACATGACGTAAAAGCTGCAGAGGTCTATTAACCAAACAACATAGCTATACTGCAACTGGAAAAGCTGGCACACACTATGACAAAAGCAAAACAGGATTTCCGTACTTGTGAACTGGGTAAAAACATCAGCATTAAGTAGAAGCATAAGAAAATTTCTTTGTTTCTGTTAAAGGGACATGGTCCACCAGCATCACTTTCAAGCTTTTCCTCATGTCTGAAAATAAAAATAAATCGTAATTTGTTTGTGCCACAAATAAGCAATGAGTCTGTGGGCTAAATTTGAACTGTTGTCATGCAGTACACATAAACTTGATACAATTTTTGAAAACGCATCTTTTCGATCGGAACCGTTAGTGGTTTTCCTAATCCTTTACCTAATAGGCCTTTTGCATGAAACGGTCACATGGTACAAAATCCGCCATACTGGATGGCAAAAGAATGTAAACAACCTCAAAAACAAAAGGAACGCAGTCCGTCAAGCTTGACTTTTCTTTGTTTTGAACATCCCAGTGGGTATTTTGCCATCCAGTATGGCGGATTTAGTACCACGTGACCGTTTCATGCAAAAGGCCTATTTTAAAGATTATCTGAAAGTTGTTCATTGTATATAATACTAATATCTTACAGTACCAGAAGGAAGACCGTCAGATGTATCTGCAACACCAAAGTCATCAACAAGCATTGAAGTAAAATGGAAGGTATGTTTTTAAGTAAAAGTCAGTCGTAT